TCCTCAATGCGAGCCGCTATTCATTACTCCTCCGGGAAAATCTAGAAGAGGATTCATACCTTTCCCAAGGGTATTAGCACGTAGGTGAATGTAATGGATTCGACTGAATTCGAACTCGGCTCTCCGATTTCTCAATCCGAGCCGCTATCCATTACTCCTCCGGGAAAATCTAGAAGAGGATCCATACCTTTCCCAAGGGTATTAGCACGTAAGTGAATGTAATGGATTCGACTGGAATTCGAACTCGGCTCTCCGATTCCTCAATCCGAGCCGCTATCCATTACTCCTCCGGGAAAATCTAGAAGAGGATCCATACCTTTCCCAAGGGTATTAGCACGTAAGTGAATGTAATGGATTCGACTGGAATTCGAACTCGGCTCTCAGATTCCTCAATCCGAGCCGCTATCCATTACTCCCCCGGGAAAATCTAGAAGAGGATTCATACCTTTCCCAAGGGTATTAGCACGTAAGTGAATGTAATGGATTCGACTGGAATTCGAACTCGGCTCTCCGATTCCTCAATCCGAGCCGCTATCCATTACTCCCCCGGGAAAATCTAGAAGAGGATTCATACCTTTCCTAAGGGTATTAGCACGTAAGTGAATGTAATGGATTCGACTGGAATTCGAACTCGGCTCTCCGATTCCTCAATGCGAGCCGCTATTCATTACTCCTCCGGGAAAATCTAGAAGAGGATTCATACCTTTCCCAAGGGTATTAGCACGTAGGTGAATGTAATGGATTCGACTGGAATTCGAACTCGGCTCTCCGATTTCTCAATCCGAGCCGCTATCCATTACTCCTCCGGGAAAATCTAGAAGAGGATTCATACCTTTCCCAAGGGTATTAGCACGTAAGTGAATGTAATGGATTCGACTGGAATTCGAACTCGGCTCTCAGATTCCTCAATCCGAGCCACTATCCATAGAACTGATATTACATAACACTTCCGTACTGATTTTTGTTTGTTTCTAATAATTTTTTTGATATACCTCCTAAACCTTGTTCCGTTATTCATGTTCTCTAGCTCGCTAGGTTGGTTATGCTTTGTTTTGCTCCTGTCCATTTTGCCACCTATTTGTTCCGTATCAAAGTTTCCAAGCCGTCTTTCCTCACTATGTGCCCTAGAAATTTTAACTGTCTCTTGTTTAATATAAGTTTCCTTTTAGTTTTTTTTTTATTTTCTCCAAAACTACCTCGTTTCTCTCAAATGTTCTCTCAGTGGTATTTATTGCTATCTACGGCAAAAGTGTGTTGAGGATGTGGGAAACACCTAATCGATTGCGATCCCAGCAACTGCGTGGGTACTAGGCAGGGGTGGAGCGTAAAGAGATGGTGGGGTAACACAAATAACACTGCCTCGGAAAGCATAGATAATTTAGAAAAAAATGTCCACGAGACCGACTTATGGACTAAAAATTTTAACTGTCTCTTGTTACATATAAGTTTTCTTTTTTGTTTCCATTTTCTCTAACACTTCTTTGTTTCTCAAATGTTCTGTCCATGGCATTTGTTGCTATCAACCGTAAGAGTGTGTTGAGAACGTGGGAAACACCTAATCGATTGCTCTCCCAGCAACCAAGTGTGTAGTAGGCAGAGAAGGCAAAGTGATGGTGGCTAACAAAAATAACACTGCCTCGGAAACTATAGAAAATTTAGAAAAAAAAAGAAGAAATGCCCACAGAACCGAATTCACAAGCTATCGTGTCTTTCCAATTGCAAGTTTTCCCGTTGCTTTCATTAGCATGAGGCATCTTACAAAAGTGCGGATCTTGACCAGTTGCAGGAGGCCCGTATCTAGACATGCCAAGTTGTGCCGCTGCTAACGAAATGTAACTGATTTTGATAAACATGTCTGCACGCTATCTGGGGGTCTCTTTTTCATCTATACGGACGCACGCTCGTCACGGTGTTCTCAGTATCCTTCTGTATAACCACATCTCCGTTGCTCCAATTCTCTTCTTCTGTGAGGAGATTGCCCAGCATTCACTGCCATATAGGAGGACTGATATTACGTAACGGTGTTGTATTCCCTTTTTTAGTTTCTAACGAAATTTCTTCTCAAAGATTTACCCATAATGCATTTCATTTCCTTCTTTCACATATAAATTTAAGGAAGACATCGTCATCTTCCATGTGCCTTTTCCCTTCTGGACGTTAGCGATCATGACTATCCACCATTTCCTGTCCTTTGTAGATATTAATATATTTTGTCTTTCTGTTATCTCTCCTAAACCTTTTTCCATCGTCCATTTATTTAACACGCCAGGTGGTTTCTGCAAGGATTTCTTCGGTCCCTCTTGCCTTCTCTCTTTACTGTGTGTATCAATATTTCCAAGAGCACATTCCTCATAAAAAACTTCATCGTATTCTCAGCATCCTTCTGTAGTACTAAGTTTTTGTTCCTTCAAGTTTTTTCTTCATCTCTGTTGATATTATTAAAAAGCATTTACTGTCATATAGAAACACCGATAAAATATATTAAATATATTTTTAAAAGTTTTCTGTTCCTTAATAAAATGCTTAAATTTAGAAAACCTTATTCGCTATTCCAATGGTTTTTTTTTTAAGCATTTTACCCCAAGTAAGGCGGGAGTGTCAGTAGCACGCAATGGGGTTACAGTGAGTGAGGGCAAGAGTAAAGAGGCGTGAAAGATGAAAGAATGAAGAGAAGGACGGGAAATAAGATCAAGGTATCTGAAGATGTCGATTGACATTAAATTTGAATATTTTAAGATTATAGCTATCAGAAAGGCAAGTAAGAGGAAGGGAGTTCCACTGACAGGAAGTGTGAGATAAGAAGCTATTGGAATAGAAGAGACGCCTACATTTAACCGTTTCCACAGTGAAAGGGTAGGATCCAGATGCCAATCTAGTAGCATGTTTAAATTCATGCAATTTCGGAACCATTGAATGTAGCTCGTCGGAGCATTTGCCGTGTAAATACTTATGGAAAAAAGAACAGAGGAAAAACACGGCACGTATGTGAGAAAGTATCCCTAGACGAGATACCAGATCAGGACCCATAACATTGCATATCCTTCTCCTCTGATTTCGGTGTCACCTAATTTGTGTTCTATTATAGCACTTCCCAGAATTTTAAATAGTTGTAGAATAATTCTAGTATCTCCAATATTTCATGTCCAGCATCCACTGTCATATCTATATATAAATGTTGTAGCTTCTGTTTGTTAACTAACTCCTCCTTAACTAACTCCTCCGCCATAACCCCATACATTTTGAAACTGCATTACCCAGAGTACTTGGATAAGTATATTTCATTTTGATCAAAGCGGGCCCAGGTGGAGACCTCCAATATTTCTTTTCTTTAATCTAAATTAAATTTAAATGTGAACAAGGGAATGAATCATTTCAAAATATAGAAGGAGAAAGCCAGAAAATGGAGGTAACATCGGCTAAAGGAGCCTTCGGGGGCACCTCCCACCCGACATGCACACACAAACACACTAAATTTTTTCTCTTTGTTTTAAATTAAATTTAAATTTGAACAAATGAATTATTCCTAGGCAACTTGGATAAGCATATTTCATTTTGATCAAAAGGGTTCCTCGAGGATGGGGGCACAAAACCATCATTGATTTTTCTCCCTTTGATTTATATTAAATGTAAATTTGAACACGGGAAAGACTAGTTTCCAAAATAAAGAAGGAGAAAGATGGAAGTCACACCTGAAAGCTCAAAATTAGGCAATATGGAAGTCAAGTTGTTCAAGAATCACAATACATATTTGTTGCGACAATTCAATATAAATATAATCATATCAATGTTGAAATCATCAATTCTGTTGTGGTAGGATCCACCTAATTTGCATAGTGGAGTACCGACCATATAAATTTGGTTGGTACCGGGAAGAGAGAGAGGGAATCAAGAGATTCAACCAGAGACTCTGCCCGACTGCGACTCAGTCAACACATTCTCCAGGAACGGTCTTACCAGGAATATACAAAAGACTATATGTAAAAATTGTGTACACTTTCTTGTTTCAATACATTTTGTTCTAAGTACATTTTGCGTTGCATTATTATTCCATGCATTAGTCAAGTTTCAACAAATTCATTCAATCAAGTATTGCAACAAATCTATATCAAAGGGGTCAGATCAAGCTGTTTTGTACAAACCCCCACTGATTGTTTTCCCTTTCATTTAAAAATCAATTTAAATTTGAAAAGGGAATAACTCATATCCAATATAAAGAAGAAGAAAGCCAAAAGATGGAGGTCACCTCGGGAGGATTATTGAGTAATATTGAAATGCATCATTTTTCTCCACAAATTCTAACAATGATTTAAAATCAATCCTTATTTTCTTACAAAATATGTGAAACACAGCGAGGCGTGGATAAATTCGGTTCGTAGTACATATAATTCAGTACACTTTTCTTTGTTTCTAAAGGAATTTATATTTTTCAACAACCTACCCATAATGCAATTCATTTCCTCCATCCACTTAATAAATTTAAGGTCGAGATAGTAATAGATACTTTTTTATATTTTGCAAATTAACGATTTATTAATTAAATATATGTATATATATATATTTCCGAATATGAAATATGTCGATATTTTTAACATTTACAAGAAAAAATATCAAGTGTATTATTGCACGTAATTCTATTGCGAAATAGGGAAATAAAAATGACCGCCATTTTGAAGGGCAGCGCTCAATTAAATGTAAACTCCTTGAGATATATTCAAGTTAATGATTTTTCCGATGCGAGAACAATCTATACATGGTTAATAACTTATCTTGTTGTCTTCTGGGCGACATGTTTACTTTACATGCAAGCGTTATTAAATCAATGGATAACTTGTCAGATTAACATATCGTTTTTTGTTCAACCTCCAACTCTATCTATCTATCTATCTATCTATCTATCTATCTATCTATATACACACACACACACACACACACACACACACATATATATATATATATATATATATATATATATATATATATATATTGCATATATACGAAAG